GTTTATTTCTTTAATTAATCTTCATTAAAACGACAATTACGTTGTCTTTAAATTCAATTAAATCCAATTTTTATATGTTTTTCTTATTTATTTCCTTTATCAGGTCATTTTGAAAATTTTTATTATCAACGTTTTTAAATAAATGTATGTATATATTTTACGTTTTTGCTTGAGGAAATTACATCTCAAGACCGAGATTACTAATTTACAAAAGTCCTAAATTTCAATCGATTGATAAAAGTATTTTGGGGCATTTGTTGAGCTGAGGTTTATGAATATTTTTAAAATAAGTTGCTAATATTTTAAGATATTTCAATTTATACATGATACAAATTCTTTCATTAGTTGTTTATTTTAGCATTAAAATTGCACATGACTATTAAATACTCATATATTTTTTTAAAAAATATTTAAGATTGTTTCCAAGGTTATTAAAAAAACTGGTTGATTGATGAGATTTTAGGATTTAGCATCAAACTATGAGCAATTTTATGTTTATCAACTCCATAAAGAAACATTCATAACTAGCATTACTAACATTATTAGTTTTTGTCAGCAAGATATATCAACTCTAACATATAACATTACTCCACCTCTGTGTTTTGATTGATCTGATCTATCCTGTTAGGATAGATATCCATCAATGAGAAACTGAGTTAAGGGGAATGAGTGGTCGATCATAGTTTCAGATATCATAACTATATCAATATATTCTTAAACACCTTCAAAGGTTCAAATTTACTTCTGATTGAATTAATGTTTATTAACCCGATTATTATTTTAGCTACGAATTGTGTTACTTCGGATGACCAAACGAAAGAGTTGACCTAGAGTTATTATTCTGTAGAATTTTATTATGTATTTTTTTATTATTTGTTAATTTGCGTTAAATTTGATTTGTATAAAAGTATTATTACTCTGTAATATTTAAGAATTTAAAATTGCTAAGTAACAATCATCTTATATTTTTAGGTCAACTGACGGAAGAGTCGATCGAGAAGATTATGTAAAGTTAGAACCTGGTTTTGAATAGCAGCGTATTTTCAAGTGCAGGTTTAAATTTTTGCCAATTTTTGTCAAGTCCCATCATTAGAAATATTAACATTCAATAAATAGGTTTTACCAGCAAAAATTATTTTTCGTTAGTTTTTTATAATTTCAACTGCATCATCAAAATGATTGTTTCTACTATTTCTACTGGTTGAGTTTTTAAAATTTTAGTATAAGTGTTTAGTCATTTATTGTGATCCACAAGATAAAATAATCTTTGTAATATGAACCTGTTCATATAAACGCATTGCATAAATAGGCCATTTTTTTACTTAAAAATTTAACATTTTCCAGCGCTAAGCTTCTTGGATGTTTGAAACTCATAGCTCCACGTTGAAAAAATATGTCAATGTGCAAAGTAAAACTTTGGGTGGTCTATAACTCAACCTAATTTTGAAATTTCGTAAATCGTAAATTATGACGTTTTTGATTTTCAACCGACAATTTTGGATTTTTATATTTACACCTAATTAAATGAACTAATAATTTTCACTAAATTACTAAATCGTTAGTCTAGTGTATTTTTGACCTGCTGAATTTTCAACCTATTGAATATTCAACCTACTGTATTTTCAGTTTTATAACTACACCTTTCCGTTATTTGTTTTTTACATTTTGTGGTTGATTTCAAGACAAGCCACATTTGATCAGCCTTAAAGCAATGGTTGAACCGCTGTCTTTAGAATCGGGAGGTATAAGGTTTAATTAATGCTTGGGAAATTTGTTGATTGTTAACTTAAAAAAACAAAAAAAACTTTGTAGTATAACGTAATATAAAAATAACGTTAAAAAAACAGACCAGATGATCAGTAGAAAATTAATTTATTTCAAATCGGTTGAAAATGAAAATCTATAAAAGTGTCAAAAAATAATTCGGTCGAAAACGAACGATTTTATTCTCTCTATTGAAATTATCTTAGAACGCTTTTAATTATCTTGCTATAAAATGTTTTTTTGTATTGAATTATCTATGCTAAACTTTTATATCATACTCGAGAACATATTATATTTATATGTTTAAGGTGGATCCATGGTAAAAAAACTAAAATCTTTAATACTCTTGATTTTAATTTTTTTAAATTAAAATATGAACAAAAATATAACTGGAAGAAAAAAATTTCTTCAAAAAATAATAAAAAGCTATTTTAACATGCTGAGTCAGCATAAAAATACACAAAAAGTGAGTTATGTAAAACAACTGTTGCTTAAAAAATACTTATGCAATCAAGTTAAAACTTTTACAATTTAGAGAAAACATATTGATAAAGTGCCTGAACTAGGATTATTTTATATTTTTATGTACTTTCAAAATGGCTGCTATATTAGTAAATATTCCAAATATTTGATTAAAAATTGATGGGAAAATATAAATTTTTCAATAAAAAAAATAATTATGTTGAAGATCCTAGCTCAGGCACTATTTTAAAGTATAATAAACAACTCCTGAAAATTTGAACATTTAACTATATGCGGATCTAGAGCTAGAGTTGTTCTAAGATTACTACATTCAAAAATACAAAAAATGCAGAAAAATGCAAAAGAAATTTAGTATTTAAAAACTTCCTGCAGAATATGACTCTTAATCTTCAGTTAACAATTTTAAAATGTTAAGATGTTTAAATAACTTTTCATATCCTAACAATCTATCATTGTACGTTAAAACAGCTGATGCTAAACAAATTTCTAATGTTTGTTTTGAAACAAAATTGTTCTTTGGGCATTTTTTCCATATAATTTGGATAAAAGCTTCATTAGGATTTTGAGTTGTACCATCTAAGCACTTCAACAACAAATCATCTGCAGACTAAGATCAATAAATATTGGTTGCACTATCTTCTTTATAATAAGAGACAAACTAGTACAGGGTTTATATGTTTTTGACCAGTAATTAAATCTCTCTGCCATTTGCACCAACTACTTAAACTGCGAGGACAAAGTTTATGCCCTTCAACACTGTTAGGAATGTCGCTGCAATGTGGCATTGCAGCGACATTCCTAATTTTATTCCGATATTTCATTCGATTAATTTTCTTATTTTATTTCTTTTGTAAGCCATTTATACTGTTTAACTAACAAAATATTTTCAGTCGGGTTTTTAAATATGCTAATTTAATAGTTTTGAAAAAACTAACTCAATAACTCTAACAACTCACTCACACAAGATTAAATAGTTTAAGTAATTTACAAATAAAACAATTGAAATACAATCAACAGAACAGTTTAAAGCATAGTATATATATTTTAAGTAGCACAAACTTTAATTACTTTGATTTTGTAGAAGATAAAAGATAAAAATTGACAAACTGTTTTGGTTGCTATGCGCGTTGCTATGAACAGCAATTAAGATAAGATGACAAATTTATTACTTTAAACAGTGTTTTAATGTAAACAATGTATAAAAACCACTTTCCTCTGAAAGGCAGGTAGTTTATCTAATAAATACAATTTAAAAAAAAAATTCATTTTTTTGCATTTTTTTTACCATGGATCCACCTTAAGTACAATTATAGGCAATAAATAACAGATCCAAATTATTACACTCCTTATTAGCTTCAACAACTGGAATTCTGTAGATGATTTTCTTTGTAATAATCTTTGGGCTGATGTCTTTTGTTTCTTTGCTAATTGCACCTCCCAAATAATCTCCGGGTAAAATAAAATTGCACATCCTTTATGATCTCCTTGATTTAAACCGGTAAGGATACTTTTATTCCATGTTGTTGGTTTTAAATTGATACTTTACTTTTTCCTATATATTTTTTGTTTTACAGCTTTACTTAGTTTTCTTCTTTTTGTACGGAACTTATTACCACTCCCAAGGTTATATATGGGAGAGCTTACAAGTTCTTTTTCGACGGGATAAATATGGCCAGAGCTGGCATTAAACGTTTGACATCTTGACTCAAAACACTGCGTCATATTTGCTGTGTTATAAAATGTTATAAAATTGATGTTATTAAATATTAATTAAAAAGTTTTTAGAAAACAAAGTTTTTATTCCCAAAAATAATGCAGCTTTCTAGTTTTTGTTCTAAATGTGTAAGAATTAGCAGATTTCCGCTTTTATTAAAAGCAAAATATAAAAGTTTTACAAACCATAAAACGCCGGTATTGTGATAGAGTTGTGGTAATAGAAAAAGTTTTTTTATGTTTTGTAGAACATTTATTTATCAAATTTTTTTATTATTTTAAACGGTATTACCAAAGCCAAAGTTTTAACGTTTAATGCTTGGATGAAAATTAAATTTTTACATTTTGGTTTCTCACTATTTTACAAAACAAAAACTATTGTTTTTTTAATTTCTCATTTTTTTTCCTAAATTTTTACAGAAAGTAGTATTTATTTGAAAGAACAAAAAACTTAAAAAACAGAGATTTTATGTTTCATAAAGTCACGTCTCCTTTTTTATATAGTTTTATAACATTCAGTAAATCAAAAACAAAGTAGACGTTTGTTTTGGCGGGTTTGTTTATGTTGTTTGATAAAATACAAAATAACAGTAAAAAATGTATAAACTAAATAATAATTGTCACCATATTTAAAATTAAAGTTGACATCTAAATTAAAAACTTTTAGAGTTTAAATTTCACAAACTTTCAAAAAATTTAAAGACGACATTTAATATTGTCAACAATATTTCAAAAACTTAGATTAGATTGCAACACAAAAGATTTGCAGCAAATTTTGAGTCAAAAATTTAAAGTTTTTAAAGTAAAAAGTTTTAAGGAAGTTGTGTGCTTTAACTTTAAGAGAAATACAAGAAAACTAGAAAAATGTTTTTACTCTTCTTTTTGTATAAACTTTTTTTTAAATAATTATGTTATAGGATAAATGTAATTGACTTTTAAATATTAAACGCACCCGTTACTCCTCTCGCTTAATCAAATTTTATTAGGCCACTAGGCGTAAGCGCTGTATCGATCGAGTGACTTGTAATTTATAAGAATGCTTTTAAAAAATATACTAATTGCTATTCTCTTTCGTTTTAATACAGTGATTATACAATTTGTTTAGGTTGTTTAAAATATTTGAACAATCTCATAGGACTTAATAAAGTTGCAAGAATTTTTGCAGTGCTTATCCTAACAGGGCAGCTCAGGAGTGGCAAAGCATTGATGTTTCATGCAGTGTTAGTCGTGTGTTGTTCGACAATATCAGGGAAAATGTGTTCTAATTTCTAAAACTCCCTTTTTTAAAGACGTTTTTTACCATTGCTTGAGACATTTATCACAAATATCAATTTTTTAGAGCTATCATGCTACCACGTTTGCTGGCAGGATTTAAATAATCGTAATAAATTCTGCGTTTCCTGTTGCGAACTGTTATCACCGCTGCAGTCTCACGAAGCGCTCCTAAAAATCTAAAAATAAATAAGATAAGAATATTAAGAAAATCTTGATCTTTACTATTTTGTATCACTTGAGCTATGAAGAGTTTGCAAAAATAAGTCATATGAAATTTTGAGTTTACGATGTACGTATTTCGAGTTAATGATACTTGATTAAACTATTGCATTGGATTACCTAAAAACAACACAGTTCTCGACACTAGCGGTGAATCCTCGGCACTAGCGGTGGGAAAAATTGTTTCTGGTAAAAACAACCCCAGCACTGACTGTTCAATTATCATAAAATCAGTTTTAATGACTGATTTTTATTCACGCTCTTCATAGTTATATTGTTGCAGTAACAATAAGTACAAAATAAGTAAAGTATAATACATAGTAATAATAGTATATTAGTAATAGTATAAGTAAATACATGGTAAATAAATACATAATAAATATATAGTAAATAAAATAAATACAAAGTAAACAATTATGAAAGTTTTTTTTTTAATTAAAATAAATAAATTAAATTGCTATTTAAAAAAAAAAAAAAAAAAAACAGAGACACGCCAAGTCGCAACAAGGATGTTTTGACTCAAGATATTTAATTCTTTACATGGTGTCATATATCTATTAAAATATTTTTTACCAATCCTTTATTTCCTTTTCTTTTTTTTGAAAACAATTTATTTAAATATGCACTCCTCTCAAAAATTCGAGATAACCTCTTTTAGCTGACCCAGAGAAACAAGATGTGGGGTTTGAAAACCTTTGAGTCTGTGATCACAAAAATGTAAAAGTTGAAATCAAATATATCAAAATCATTATATCCAAGAAAATAATTCAACATTTAAATGTATTACTATAAACAGCAATAGAGTAAATAACAGCTTTTGACATTTCTACAGTATATATAATTGTATTACTGACTGGTGTCCTTTTGTATGTGACGATCAAGGTACACTCACTATAAATTCCCATTTTTTAAGTAAATTTTTCGGGAAAATGCACGATTTATTTGTTTACAAAAAATTCATGATTTGCATAATTTTCAACTGCCGTAATAAAAATGCCCACTTTTGCAAAATCACATGAAGAAAACCGAAAAACTGTCTGTTTTCTTTGCATGCACAAGGCAAAACGAGAGGTAACACCTTTAATAATTGAAAAAGTGAAGACAGTTCTCCAAAGAGATGTTGATTTTCAAGATTCAAGAGTTCCAAAAGGAATTTGTGAAGGATGCCGTTCAGAAATGAGGAGAAAAGATGAAGGCAAAGAAGTAAGCAATTTCAAAGAAATTTATCCCAAGATTTCCACATGAGAGCAAGCTTGCCAATGCCTCATCTGTCAAATTGGTCAACTCAAGCTCAATCAAAGGCATCCTTTGGAAAATTGGCAGACACTGAAAACGAGAAGGGTGACCATAGATGCTCCAAATGTCTTGCAGTTCTTGGCAAAGGTATGTCCAATCCTTGCAATGAATACACATTTCGGGAAAACATGAGGTTGCTTGCAGCTAAAGATAGCAAAATTTCTGACCAAATAGCTGCTACTGTTATCAGTCAAAAAGAGGCATCACCACATGCGTCAAAAGACACACACAGAATATGAGCCTCAACTTCAAAAGTGTGTGACTGATTTTAACAGCAAGCACTTGTAAAAGAATCTGTAAACGTAATTTTTATTCAGAATGTATATTTATATTAAGTCTTGACTGTTGCTTAAAGAATTTTATGTTTATATGTGCTGTAGAAATGTTAAAAATTGGAATGCTGTCATTTACACTATTGATGTTGATAGTAATAAAATTAAATGTTGAATTATTTTCTTGGATATAATGTTTTAATTTCAACTTTTACATTTTTGTGATCACAGAGTCAAGGGCTTTCAAACCCCACATCCTGTTTCTTTGGGTCAGCTAAAAGAGGTTATCTCGAATTTTTGAGAGGAGTGTATGGTACATTCCATAGAAACTTTGAAAAATTTGAGATTTAAAAAACTTTTCTTTGACTGTTTATGCCTATGAACTATTATAATACATACTTTATATGTTCTAAAACTGATATAAATATAAATTCAAAATTTAGCCATGAGACACCTTCAAGCTGCCAAAACTCAGAAATTTTCTCATTTTCTAAAATCAATAAAGTACATTTAATAATGTTATACTTTAAGTATATGTGATTGCATTTTTTCAAAAGTTTTTTAATACGTAAAGAGAAAAGTTAGATGCACTATTTCATAACAAAAAAGATTTTTAACCAAAAGTAAATAATTAATAAAAATATTTGACGAGAATAGTGAAAAAATATGCATTACGTCAGTAAGAATAAATATATAAAAACTCGATTCTTACAGTAAAAATTTTAAATTTTAATTTTTTTTTTTTTTAATAAAATGTAACTTGATTATTTAAAACAAAACTTTATTATTATTTTTTCTAAAAAAAAAAAATTGATTCCAAATTTTATACTTAAAATTGCGTTACATCAGTAACTACTTTGAAAACGTGATTAAAACGATGTTATTGACGAAACGCAACTTTAAATAACAATGAATTACATTACAACAGAACTTTTATTTTTTCATTATTTAAAACTTGCAAGCATTAGATTTACTTTTGAAAAAAAAAAATTAAATTGCTGTGAGTTTTATTTTTTAATTGTTTAACAATCAAGTCGCTCAAATTATATATAAATAGTTAAAAAAAAAGTAATTTTGTTTTTAGCATATAGTAAGACACCAAAAAAAAAGTCTGCAAAATGGAGGAAACAGAATCCAAAGCAAAACAAAACTCTTAATGCAGGTTATTCAAAAACTTATAAACAATGATTAAAAATTTCACTCAATGATGAGCAAAGGAAAATAAAAAATAGCGAAAGGCAAATAAAGTATAGAGAGAAGAAGAGAACTGCTGCGCTATCAACAAATAAGACAAGTCTTTTTTCTTGTCCTTGTTCTTGTCAAACGTAAGTTAATGAAAAAAGTAAAAAAATGCCCTATTTGGATCTCCAGAACAAAATACTTCCATTTTGAAAACATTATTAGCTGAAAATCAACCGTTTAAGTTAAAAAAAAGCAACTGTAAGTTTACCAGATGATACTATAAATTTGCACAAAGTTTTTCACCATCACCAAACATCAGATTTTGTTAAAGCTAGTGAAGGCGGAATTAAAAAAAAAAAATTAGTGTTAAACATTTGATCTATCCTATAAAGGTTTCTGTTTCTGTTTATTGTTTATGTATTATGTTAAAAGTTAATGGAATGTTTAAAAAACAGAATCCAAGTATTATTACTGGATTAACTATTTTTACTTAAGACCATGTAATGTTTTCTCAATTACCAAAGAACCATATAACGTTTGGGTTTGCGCTATTCATGAAAATATGTTTTTAATTAGTAACTTTAAAAAAGTCACATTCCATATTAAATTATTTGTTGACAGACAATGACATGTACTTGAACTTTACATGTAAGCTTTCGCTTATTGAGTGTTTCATGAACCATTGTGAATTTTGTATGGATGCACTTAACGTTCAAATATTGGAGTATGAAATTGAGAGTTTAAATAATCAAGTAACTTGGCAAAAATGGGTTAAAACTGAATTAAAAAAAAAATCGCCCTAACGTTTATTGCTATATTGAGAAAGTCTCTTAGTCTGGGGTGACAAGTGAATTATTATATGAGTTATACAAACTAGCTCCTGATTTTTGGATCACGCATATGTAAAAATTAATCAAGCTAAACTATATCAGCAAATGATATATGTTTACAACCAAAATTCTAACCAATATGTCGTAGGAGTTGATTTTGCAGAAAACTTTAAATGCATCACTCAGAACGAACTACTAAGCACTCATTACGGCCAGACTCCAATTTCAATCTTCACCTCAGTTGTATATCATCGGTGTCATTTGCAGTCACTTGCAATTGCATCGAACCATCAATAATATTCAAAATAAACTGTGATTCCGTTTATTGTGTCATTATGGAGTAGCTGCCAGAAACAGTCCAACAAGTAACATTTTGGAGTGATAATGCAACATCTCAAAAATAAGTATATAATGGAGTCTTTAAAAATGTTATAAAAACAACACAAGATGAAAATTAAATGGGCTTTTTTTGTACCCATGCACAGCAAATCTGTTGTTGACAGAATTGGAGGATTTGTTAAAAGATTTGTAAAATCCAAAATTTTTGCTCAAAATATCAAAGTAACAACAGCATCCCAATTTGCAAAGGCAGCAGAAAATATGGATGTCAAGATTATTTTGGTTGATGTTGATGAAATTGAAAAACCCAATAAAGAGATTGGATTGTCAAAATTAATTTCTTCATCAAAATTGTTACCAGGAATAAAAAAAAAACATTTCAAAGTTCAAACTATTACCAAAAAAAAAATCGCACTTAGTTTGATTTAAAATATATATTTGCTTATTAAAGTTAACTAACTAACTAAAGTTTATATTATTAAAGTTAACTAACTAAAGTTTATATTATTAAAGTTAACTAACTAACTAAAGTTTATATTATTAAAGTTAACTAACTAAAGTTTATATTATTAAAGTTAACTAACTAACTAAAGTTTATATTATTAAAGTTAACTAACTAAAGTTTATATTATTAAAGTTAACTAACTAACTAAAGTTTATATTATTAAAGTTAACTAACTAAAGTTTATATTATTAAAGTTAACTAACTAACTAAAGTTTATATTATGAAGCTGTGATTAGAGTGGAAAGAGAATAAGAAAACAAAATTGGATTTTTCATTTTTGGGTTGTTTGGTGAACTTATTTCTGAACAATTTGACAAAGTTTTACGGTCTTTACTCTCGAAGTATTTATAAGTCACACAAATATTTACCAAATTTTAAAATTAAAGTTAAAGCAACCGAATAGTTGTTTTTTGTTATTAGAATTTTTCTTTCAAATTAAAATAAAAAAAATCTTTGACATTTTTTAACGCCCACAGACTACGCCCCAAGGTTTACTGTAATTATATAATATTTTTAATATACCAATTTTATCAATAATAAATGTTATTAAAAAATAAAATAATACTTGACTAAATTAGCATGTTTTTAAACAACTATGATTATCTGAGTTAGAGCGTTACACCAGTAACGTAATGTCAGTAATTTATGAACTTCAGAATAATATCTTCTGTTAAGGGAATTAACACATCTATATAGCTTATATGTACAACAAATCATCTAGATAAATGAGTCTTTAATTCAAAGTAATTATTCAGTTTTTTTGTTTTTTTTAACTTTTAGAGAAACTTGAAGTCAAATGTTAATATTAGAAATATAGCAGATTCCAGCGTTACGCCAGTAACAAACAAATATTTTTCAACTTGAAGATAAATACAAATAGTCTGGAAATTTTATATATACACCAATATTACCCATATATATAAATACATTTTGACTTTTATTACGAGGATCTAATATAAATGGAAAGTATTTAAATTAGGTATGATCAGTAACTGTGGAATGCACATATTCTATTTACATCAGTAACTATAGAATGCACATATTTTATTTACATCAGTAACTATGGAATGCACATATTCTATTTACATCAGTAACTATGGAATGCACATATTCTATTTACATCAGTAACTATGGAATGCACATATTCTATTTACATCAGTAACTATGGAATTTTATTCCTTAACTTTTACTTAGATTAATCACAAACGTCATTAATTTTTATTTAAAGTAAAACAGTCTTATTTCAGTCATTATAACTAGTTGTCCACCTTAAAATTTTTTATTAACTTCCTAAATATGGTAGGATTTTAGATTTATCTATCAAAAAATCATTTTAATAATAAAAGTTAAAAAAAAAAGTGAAATCAAGAACAAAAGATTTAAATAAGTAAATAAAAAAAAATTAATATATTTATAAATTTTAAGGTATTGGGAAACTGCATCAGTAAATTCCAAACAAGAAAATTTTTTTATAGGATATATAAAGTTTGAGAGAGCAACTAACAATGTTTTTTACCAAATGCTTAGATATTTTTTCTTATGGCTATATATTTATATAGCCAACAGTGCACAATCTAAATTAATATTAAAAAAAATGTTTTTTCTGAAACTTATGTTACTAAGCCCCCCTTTGTTGCAATATATAATCTTCTAGCATCCCATAATTATTAAACCCATAATTATTAACTCTCTTATTTTCCAGACTGTACTTTAATACCCAAAAAGTTAAAAAAGCTACTTTAACATTTTAAAAGTTAAAAAAGCTACTTTAAAAAAAAAAAAAGAAAAAAAAAAAAAAGTTTTCTCTACTTATAAAATTTATTTATGCAAAAACAACTTTTTATTAAAATTTTTATACTATCATTTCTCAATCTTAAATTCTTGTTTAAAACAATAGTTAAAAAAAATTGAACTTCAGTAACCTTGGTTATATTAGGGGAATAAAACATGTATTTTACCTTTCTCGTGCTGGCTTTGATATAGGATCATAAAGATATTGAGCTTTTGAATCAGCTAAGCCGCTAGTGTCACGTTCACTCAATAACTTTGTTATAACAATTATTTCCATGGTGACATGTTTGGGTGGTAAAACTTGCATGATATCAGATTCTGTCAATGCGTCCTAATTAACAGGAATATACTTATTTATTTACAAACTAAAACTTTTAAATGACATCACAAATGGAGGAAGTTTTTTTTTTTTGCGAAAAGGTGAAAAATAGAAAAAATAGAAAAAAAATATATATATTGTTCAAAAAGAACAATATGTAAGTTTGATTAATTTATGTTGTTTGCATTGTTTATATTGTGTATTTTTTATATTGTTGTGCATTTCTGTGTATTGTTTATACTGTCATGTAATTTTGTGCATTATTTATATTGACATGTACATTTATGTATTGTTTATTTTGTTGTGTATTTTTTTGTGATGCTGTGGTTAATAATTTTTATTGCTGCTTTTTTATATTTGTTGCTATTATTCAAGTAATTTCATATTTTTTGTCTGATTATAATATTTGAATATATTACTTTCTTTTCTTTTTAATTTTCTACCATCCTTCTGATCATTAAATGCTACGTTATCTCATTCATTCATTATTTCTCAATTATCTCAGATTCAATATCTCTTTTTTTGGTCACTATCTATATTATTACTTGTTGTTGTTTGTTTGTTTTTTGCTTTATTTGTTTATTTTATTAAGGTGTTACTCCAATAACTAGATTTTAATTATACGAGTGACTAAGAACCGAAATTTTGTTGAATTATAAATAAATTTGTAATTTTTTCAATTTTATTATAAAATAAATAGATTACATAAAAAAAAAATTCAAAACAAATATATTACTCTAGCTTTTGAAATACACTTTTCCAGCAAAGAAAAAAGAACAAAAAAAAGAAATTTTTTGGCTCTAATAAATGTACTTCATACACAGACTCTTTCTGCAAAGAAAAATAAATTTTTTCTTTATTCTAGTAAATATCATTCCTACAGACACCATCAGTTAATGTATGCACTTATTACTTCCTTTAATTACTTGATTTTTCATTAAATATAAAAAATATAATTTTTTAAATAATCTATTATGCTTTGTTTTAAAATTTATCAAAATTTTTTTTGATAAAAATAAATATTTATTTGACATTTTCAAAACACCATATTTTAAAGTTACTTACTTTGTTAGTGGGTGGTTTTCCACGAAGCATTAGTGGGTAATTAGGAACAAAAGCACATTCATCATACAATGGCAAATTCAGTGACGCGTGTTCAACAGTTGATTTGTATATAACGTAAGTTAAAAATTTTATTAGATCTAATCTTGTTTCAAATTTTCCGTTACCTGGAACATTCTACAATAAATATTTAAACACAATAAGTGATAATTTTACATATTAAGGGTAGAAGGCTCTTTAAATGCTGTGAAAATAACTTTTATACGATGAAATAAACTCTGATATAAAAACATAGACAGTTTAAATATTTTAAATTTATTTAATAACATTTCCGAAAATTTCCTAATATTTTTAATTTTATTCTTCTTATAGCAATAATTTTTTACCTTGAACTCGCAAAAATCTTTTCCTACAAGTTCAGCAGCCATTCCCTGAATTTCTGTATCATCTTGAAGAATGTTTTCGGTTTCTAAAAAAAAAAAAAACAGTTTTTATCATTATTAACATTTTTACAACTACAGTTATATATGCAAAACTATAACTATAAAAAAAAGTTCTTTTAAATAGCATATGTTTTTGTATTTTAAGACAAACTAGATCTTCTAGAAAAACTAAATCTTTTTTCTTCCTAATTCTCAAAAGAACCAGTTTATTTTTTAAAACAAAGTTACCTATAATAATTGCGCAAGCAACCACTAATTAAACTTGGAGTTACTTAGTAGTCCACTTTAATATAAAAATAAAAATAAAAACCTCTCTGCTAACACTTTAAAAAGGAGATATATCACACAACCAGTTTATATTTTAAAACAAAGTTACCTTTAATAATTGCGCAAACAACCACTAATTAAACTTAGTAGTCCACTTCAATATGAAAATAAGAATAAAACCTCTCTGCTAACACATTAAAAAGGAAATATAATATCACACAACCAGTTTATTTTTTTAAACAAAGTTACTTATAATAAGTGCGCAAGCAACCACTAATTAAACTTGGAGTTACTAAAAAATAAAAATAAATGAGTAGAGAACAAGAAACCAGAAGAATTGAAAATGTTGAATCAGAAAACATTAAGACAGGAGAAAATTGCAAAATTTTTTTTAGGAAAAAGAAAACTGAATAAAGGATTTTTAACAATAAAGAATGAGTTACATTAAAAAGGATGCAACTTTACAACTGACAAGTTTAAAAAAAGGAAAAAGGTATCATTAGTAGAACCAGCCTAAAAAAAGAAAGAAGTTTGTTCGCAAGGTTCATATTTTGGAGTCGCAATAAAACAAACAGAGACCGCAACTTAAAAATTTTATAGCAGATGTTTTTATTTTTATACTTATAGTAGACTTAAAGTATTAAAATTGTGTTAAGTAATTGAAAGATAACTGACAATTTGTGATATGTTAATCAAAGTAAGTTATACCATAAAAGCCAGATACAATTTGTGATACAAAACCATTAATACATTCATATAATATCAACCCATCATCTCGATAAGGATATTCAGTAATTATTTCCGCATCTAATATCTAAACAAAAGTTTAATATAAAAAAATTGAATATATAAATAACAAAAGAAATAAAAACAATAGTAATAAATATATAATGAGTATAAAAAATTTTAAAAAAAATTAAAAAAAACTTCTTACATCATTTTTTTCCATTTCCATTTTTAAACATGTAAATTCTTCAAAATTATACTTTTCCCAACTAAAAAATGAAAATTAAATTATTAGCACTAACTAATTATAAAAAATTTGTTTAATTTTAGTTGTACTCACAATTTGTTTATAAGTTGGAATGTTGCTTCTGCTGTCAGAGTTGTATTATTATCAACCCAACCACCAGGACTTAACAATGGGAACATCTCAAAGCTAAATAAAAACATACTACATAAGAAAAATCTCTTAGCTTTTATTTTTTAATAAAATTTTTTTGAATGTTTAAATGTGTATATAATAATTGAGAAAAAATTTTTGACTTTTATTTCTTGATAAATATCTTTTAAGTATATTAGACATATGAAGTAAAATTTAATGTAAAACTATTATTAAAGTTGTCTCAAACAAAACTAGGTCTTTGTGTCAATCAAAATTAGCTCTGCATAATGGATGATAAAAGTATTTGGATAAGTAGTGTAAGACTTACTGATTGACAGCTAAAACCAGTCTTAAGTATGGAGCAAGTAGCCTATATATTGGATGAGAAGGAGATAACTGTCGATTCATAGCAATAGTTATAAGTTCTAAGACCCAATGATTAGATGCTAAAAAAAAAAAATGTATTTTACCCCCTGTTTAATAGAATCATAAATAAGTACACCTTAAACAAAAAAATTTAACAAAAACTTGAATCAATGTGTAAAAAGTAGAAAACAAACTCTGCAGTGATTACAAACAAAAAAATTTACTATTTACCAGACCTATATTCAGTAAAAATTAGTGTACCTATAATGTATTACCTGTATTAGGATCTCTCACAATAATGCATATTGTGAGAGATACTAATACAGGTACAAAAAAAAAAAGCTTAACATATATAATTTGGGTCATTATTTTACAATTGTGTCATTATTTTACCAATATTCACCAATAAACAATTTTGGGTTGTTAAAGGTTAAACTTTTATCAATAAATAATCTTGTGCTGTTATGTTCTATATTTACTAATAAATGATGAGCTGTTATGTTAAATATTTACCAATAAAAAATGTTGGGCTTTTATATTGGATATTTACCTACATATTATGTGGGCTAGTTAATGGTTAGATATTACTGAACTTAAACCCCCAAAAAATCATTTATTAAAATTTAAAAATTATTTGTTTCTACTAATTGTTACTACTACAAATTCAAATCAACAAAATCCATTTTTCTGATACTTTTTTAAAGATATTTTTTAAATTTTCATTAGTTATAGCCACCAACTACTGAATATTTAAAAATTTGAAGCCAAATTTAATGCTGATCATATCCTTTGTGCTTCTTCAATGAACAACTTTGGTTAATTGAAGAAATTAAAAAAAGTTGTTAATTGAAGAAATTAGCACAAAGTGCTAATTTCTTCAATTAACAAAAAATAACGATTAAACATTACTTTTGACTTTCATTCAACATTTCAGTGTTGTCATAAAGTTGAAACCATTAATTTAATCACTTTTAAAAAAACCGCAAAAATGCCAATTTAATTGACTAGAATGTTTTCAAAAAAACATAAACAATGTTTTTATTTATTTTATTTTTTTACTGTAAATCATGTGCAAGTGTTGCTACATCAACTATCTTATAGCCTGACTCGCAACAGAGTGCTACTACATTGACTGACAAATAGCCTGACTCGCAACGGAGTACTGCTACATCGACTGATAAACATCCTGACTCGCAACAGAGTGCTGCTACATCGACTGACCAAATAGCCTGACTGGCAAAGGAGTGCTGCTACATAATTAAAGAAAAAAAAATAAAAAATTACCGGTTTAGAATTAAAAAATTTTTTTTATGTCAACAAAATATGGAAAAACTTTCTGACAACATTGCAAGGGTATATATATATATATATATATATATATATATATATATATATATATATATATATATATATATATATATATATATATATATATATATATATATATACATATATATATACATATCTATACATATATATACATATATATACATATATATATGTATATACATATATATACATATATACACATATATATATATATATATATGTATATATATATATATATATATATATATATATATATATATATATATATATATATATATATATATATATATATATATATATATTGGGGGTTGAAATAGGTGCTGGACATTGGTATTCCTTTGACCATTTTAAGATCCACAAGAGAAAGGGCAAGCAACTATTGTTCATTTTGTAAGGAAAAAATAAACAATGGTTGATTGCGCTTCTTAGACAGATCTCAAAGAGTAAAAAAATGATAAAAAAAAGCAAGCAATAAAAGCAAAGAAAAGGTAAGTAGTATTTCTTTAAAAAAATAAACAGAAATGGCACTCCATCATGTCCCTAGTGGCACAGCAACCAACTTGATTCTCTGTGTAGCTGTTATGTTTGTTAAACTTGTTTCCTGCACAGCAACCTTGTTAGTTTTGCTTTATGAAAATCTTTATTACAATTATCAATAAACAATCCCACAATCCCATAAAAATCTAATTTTGGCTTGCTGTAATGTTTTTTTCAATTGCCAGTCCTAGAATGCTAAATTTAAACTTTTGACACTAGTTTTGGATAAACCTTTTAAAAATAAGAAAAAATATTTCTTAATAAAGTATTATTTTAAGTAAAGCTTCTGCAATTGAAGCTTGTGATAAAGTAAAAAATTTTCACTAAAATCTTACTTGATAAAAGACACGCTCTTTGGTATACTGCATCAGCATTATTAAACCACATTTTTGCCAGTAGCCATGTGTAATATGGATCACTGGGTATAAACAACGGATTAGCGTCTGACTTTTCTTGATATAGCTGAATAGCTATGGGAAGAAGTATATCTTCTTTGTTAAGATAAAAGAGTGCCATAGGACTCGGTATCTAAAATACAAAAAAACAATAAGTAAATCAATCGATAACGACATATTTGAATTTTTTTTTTCTTGTCTGGACTAAAATACTATTTGTTAAAAATAATATTTTAAAGCATAGTTATATTCAACTTTTTACTGATTGTTTTTACTCAAATAAGTTGTAAAAAATTGTATTAAAAAATTGTATTAAAAAATTAAAAAAAAACTTGGAAATCACAAAAAGATATAAATGCATTTTATATTTCACAAAACTTGTGCAAAAAAAAAAATTGACTAAGTATTTAATTGGACAAATTCTACCAAAACACTATAAAATATCAACACACATTTTTAAACGTTTCATTAACTATTTTAGCAGTAAATAGTAAATAATTTTAATAAATAGTCCAAATAGTAAATAATTTTTTAAATAAAATATTTATAAAAGATATTATCAATTTATTTTACAAAAACAATTACTAGTAAATTACTATTAATAAGTTGTTATGAATTTTTTTTTTTTTTGGTACTTAAAATATACAAGATAGTAATAGAAATTTTCTTACAAGTTGTTGATGTTCTCCATTCAACAAACCATTCAACAAAGAATGATCAACTATGAATATTTTTTTATTTTTTATTGCTTCATTTAAACTAAAGCCTTCTAAAAAATCTTCAACTGACTCATTTGTGACAGCAAAGCTAAAAAAAAATTTAAAAACTAATTTTTCTGTATAAAAAAAAAGCAACTTATTTTTTATTTATTTATTACTGATAACGCCAACATAGTTGAAGGCCAACATAGTAGATTCTCAGTATTTTAGGTTAAAATAAGAAGCCTTAAAAACAAGTCTTAAATATTTAAAATTCTGATTTTTATTTTAGATAATTAATTTTTAATCTTTAAAATTAATATTTAATATTTAAATTAATTTTAGAAAATTAATTTTTAGTTTTCTTTTTTGAATTAAATAATTTTTTTTATTTTATTATGAACAAAAAAGAATTTTAAAATATGGAGAGGAATTATTATTACAAAAGAATTAGCCCGGGCTTTTTTATTTTGAGATTTTATGATTTAGAAATTTTGAAACTTTTAAAACTTAAAAATAATAAAAAAATTACTAAACCTTGATTTAGTAATTTTATTACACAAAAAATAATTTGTTAAAACTTTGATTTAAAACTAGCACACCATTTTTTTGTTTTATTAACTACAGGATTCAAAGTTTGATACAACACTAAAAGTTTAATACACCTCACACAACTGTTTCACTCAATATAAAAGCGAGCTTGACGCCACAGTTTTTTTTTTTCTACAAAAAAAGTCTAAAAATGCACTAACTTAAAAATGTTTTTTTTTTTTCTATAAACGCTTTCATCTTCAACAAAAAATAAAATCAAAGATCAATCTGTCTTTGCTAAATAAATATTTACATTAAGCGAAATAAAAATATATATAGCTTAAATATTGCTAACCATTTAGGACCGCTTTTCTGATTTTTGTGATTTTTACAGAAAACCTGTCATAGGCCAAATAAGATTTCATAATATAGCTGCATGCTTAATAATTGAATTTTGGAGCACTTATAAACAAATGCCTGTTTTAGGCCAAATAAGGTTTTATAATATAGCTGTATGCTAAATAATTGAATTTTGGAGCACTTATAAACAAATGCCTATCTGATTTTTGGTGCAGCTTGCTTATTTTTTAATGTATTTATATTTTAGTTTTATCATTCGGAAATGAAAATCGTATTATTTTTTAAATCCGCACCAAATAATTGAAATTTCAACCCTTTCTGCATATAAAAATCAAAAAATTGTTTCCTGTACCTATAGCTATGTTATGAAATATGTTTTCAAACTTGGTTAGTTTAGAAAACAACTTTACTTTGTTTATCTTCAAAGCCTTTCATCAGAAAGTGACAAAAATTAAACAGAATCATCCTAATTAAACATTTCATCATTGACTATAGTATTTGTAGGATTTGTGCATGCGCATGGGAGATATTAAGATTTATGTTTATTACTTTGGAACATCGCTTCCTTTTTACTTTACAAAGATAATAGTTAGTTGAATGAAAAAAAAAAAATTATTGTAAAAATTTCAGTCACAATTTCCAAACAGACTTTGTTTCAAAGTTGCAGTTTTACAGGATCTATAGAATGTTTATTGAAAAAAAGGCTTTTGGAGTTTTTAACAATATTGAAAAAATTTACTACAAAAAAATTTTTTTTAAGTTGTTTTTTTTCACAGAAAAAAAAAGTGGGCTAAAAAAAAAAAGTGGGCTACTGTCTTGGCTACTAATACTTGATACCAGCTAAAAGTAATATTAAATTTTAAATTGTTGCCAAAATTATTAGTAAAAAAATTTCTATTAATTTTGCACTTAATAGTAATTAATAATCTGTTTTATAATTTGGTGGGGTAAGTTAGCGCAATTTTTTTTTTTTTTTTTTTTGAGGGCCTGGGAAAGCTCCAAGAATTTTTTTGTAAATAAATGCAACTTTTATAAGTTACCCAAATTCATACTCTTTGAGACTACACTTTAATATTTTTAAAAAAATGCGCTACAGAGCTCATAGAGTAAAAACCTAGTCAACTAGCTCCAGCCTCCCCTATGTTCCAAGCAAATATGTAATAAATTTTATGAAAACAACTTTCTTATTGAGAGAAAATTTAAAGTATAAAATAAACAAAGTTAGGCTTTTTTTTTTCCTCGTGAGCAATCAACTAACATCAGATAAGTTTTCTAATCCTATTATATCTTGTTCAATAAATATTATGTCAATAAATATTATTTTATTTGCATTGTTTGTATTATATTTTTATTAGAAGATTCATTTATCATTATGTATTCTTTCTAAGATTTATTTATCATTATGTATTTTTATTACAAGATTTATTTATCATTATGTAAAGGGAAATATTAATACTATACATTGAATGATAGAGCAAATAACAATTGACAGACAAGTTAAAAGATTGCATATTATATAAATCAGGAAAGCAAGATGAAGGAAGCGAATTCCAAAGAACTGATGTTTGAAGAAAAAAACTAGAGGTATAAGAATTTTTAGAGCACTTAGGAACAGTCACAAAAAAAGGATAAGACTTAATTGAATGAAGAGTAACACAAGAATGAATTTTATTAAATGGCACAAAAGAGGTTAGCTCTTTTTACGACGATGTGATATTGGTTGAAGGTTCGTTGCAAGAGCAGGTCCAACTATGTTTATAATGCGTTTTTGCACCTTGTCTAAAAGAGAAAGGACATCATTAGAAGATTTGCCCCAGATATGGCAACAGTATTCCATACAAGGCTGGATTTGGGATTCATAGCGATAGAGAATAGAATCCAGAGTAAGAAAGTTGAGCTCGATAAAGAGATGCAACTTTAAAATTTTGCAATAAATTTAATTTATGGTTTCCAACATTTTTGATATATGGTTTCCAAGAAAGATCAGTAGTAAGAATCAATCCCAGAAAATGAAGGGTAGATGACTCATCGAGTACATTACCATTCATAAATATAGGAAAGTCTTAATTATTGCGATAACGATTGGCTGAAAAAAATTGAATTTTATCTGAATTAAAGTTCACCAGCCACTGTGAACCCCTTGCTGTAGCAGAAGTGAGATCCTTTTCAAGTTCAAGTGTCCCCTCCAAGCAATCAGAGAGAGTTGGCTTTTTATCATGACAAGAATAAATGGTAGTATCATCAACGAACAATGCCACCTTAGATGAGAAAGTATCTGGAAGATCGTTAGTGTAAATTAAAAAGAGTATAAGGCCAAGGATTGAACCTTGAGGAACCCCTGAGTTTACAGAATAAGAAGAAAAGTGCTGTCCATCAAGGACAACTTTTTTACTATAGTTGGAAAGGAAGGATTCAATAATCTTAAAGATGTTTTCAGATACACTGTAAGAAGAAAGTTTATGGAGAAGACCAGCATGCCAAACTTTATCAAACGCTTTAGAAATGTCAAAGCGTAGAACTAGAAGATCAAAATCCATATTGATGATCAGAAAGTAAGTTATTAGATTCAAGATGAGAGATTAAGTGTTTGTTAATTAAAGATTCAAAAACCTTGCTTATGATAGGAAGAAGACTAATAGGACAGTAGTTAGACGAATCAGATCTCTCTCCAGAATTTTAAAAAATAGGGATAACAAATATTGCTTTCCAGCAGGCTGGAAAACAAGACTCTGATAAGCGCTTGTTGAATAGTTTTATAAAGATAGACAACAGCTCTAGAGAACACTTCTGCCAGACTACAGCAGGTATGCCTGGGCCACAAGCTGTAGAAGAGTCTAAGCAGGAAATCACTTTAGATACAGAAGCTGGAGTGATACAAATGTCAAGCAATGGATCAACCTGTTTGACAGCTATATCAGTTAGAAATGTTGATTTCTAGTGGAATTAAAGATTCTCCAGAAGTCACAAGAGCCTAATTTTTGTGATGAAATACGAGATTTTATGACCTGAGAATAGTTGACTTTGGCGTTAGACAAAGCTTTTTTACAATGGTTTCTAGCAGTAATAAACAGACGTCTGTTTTCTAGAAAATTGTTTTGCTGATAGATATGGAAGTATAGTTTTGATTGGCAATTGCAGCAGCACAATGTGAGGAAAACCATGGAGAAGAGTGGGGCTTGACCTGGAATCGTTGAGAGGGAACAAAGTTATATAAGAAGCACATTTGTCAACAAGAAGACAAAAGATTTCTACCCAAGGGTCATCACAAAGAAAATCACAAAAAAAATTCCCAGTCAGCTTTAAGGTAGTTATAAGATGTACGATGATAGGGGGATTCTGATGATAAAGAAGAAAGAGATAATAGTTTTAGAGAGATCAAACTGTGATTAGAGGTACCTAAGGGTGAATGTGGAGAAACTCAGCACTGACTAGGATTAGAAATAAGACATAAGTCGAGTTGAGAAGGTAAATGATTTGGGTTGTCTGGAAAGCGAGTTGGAAAGTTGACTATTTGAGTTATGGATTTTCTATATGTCTATTTGAGTCATGGATTGAGAAAGATAATGAGGCTCTTAACACACATTTTAACTCATTAAGTTCTTAAGTAGAGACTATGAGTATTAGGCTGAAACAGGAGGAGCAGTTCCAACTGCTCGTGCTAAAAATGGAAGATGGTTAAAAAAAAAAAAAAATTGAAAAAAATAATGCAAAACTTAGTGATATAAACCAAAATAGTTGCCAAATTTGCAAACATTTTTTAAGCGGTGATAAGGATTTAGTTATTGTTGATTCTTATTTAGTCTATGACAACATTGATTTTTCTGAATTTTTTTGTGGATTTAAGTTAAGTAATTCGTAGAATATATCAGTTAAAAGACAATAGTTGGTAAAAAGTATTCTTATATCAAACCTTATTCTTAGTTAGGTAGACATGCTACAGCTAGACGACCTAAACTTGCTTTTTTATTATATTCCTTCAATTATTAGCTTGTTCAGATTTAGAAAGTGATTTTCCTATGTTGTTTTGTGATTTTGTGTCTAGTGAAATGTCGATATTTCATTGTGTTGCAAATAAGTTAGGTTTAGTTATGCAGTTAAGTGTTCTGATGCTATAATACTGCAGAGCCAATTAAGGATGCCCATGACTGAATTCCGTAGGCTAAGACGTATTTTTTGTAATCTTGGTGCAAGGATTCTCCCATCTGAGCCCAAGATAAG